TGGGGTTGATTGAAGAACAGGGTGGATTGAAGAATGGGGTTGATTGAAGAACAGGGTTGTAAATAAGGGCTCATTTGGATCACTGCGGGAACAGACAAGGATCATCTTCATAAAAGGTATTCTTTTCTTTTATATAGTCCGTAAGGGCATCTTGGTTTGGTAAATTGGTTTGGTAGAACATATGCAAGGTTTGGAAGCCTTCCGTAAATCGAGATAGGAAATCTTGTAGGTAAAGGCGTATACCCAACTGCTAGCGTCCATTTGGTATACACCCACAAGAAGCAGGGGCATCTTGTGGTTTGGGTCCTGCAAGATGCAGTGGGTGTCTTGTAGAAAAGGTTTTGGATTTTCTGGGTTTGGTATACACCCACAAGAAGCAAGGGGCATCTTGTAGTTTGGGTCCTACAAGACGCAGTGGTTGTCTTGCAGAAAAGATTTTGTATTTTACTGGTGTTTGACTTATGTTGTGGCTTGTTATAATTATGATTTTGGTCTTGTGATTTTGGTATTGGTGACATACTGTTATAACTGTTAATTGTTGTTTGTTTGATACAGTTTTAGTCTCTGTCTCAAATATTGTAACTGTGTGGAGCATTTCTGTGGGATCCCGTGTGTGTGAATGCGAGATTGATAATGGGAAATTGGCAGAGTGGATAGATCTTAAGAGTCCTTTAGGGTGCATTTTGGCACATTGGAAAGAGCTGGGAGGGTTTCCTGGGGGCTCAGTAAATAAGAAAATGTTGGTGAAATATTTTAACCAGTGGTGGCTGTTGTCTACTCTGTGGGATCAGGAGAAATGGCCTAAAAATGGAACTCTGAATTATAATACATTGTTACCATTAATGTTGCTTTTGAGGTGCCAGGGAAAATGGGAAGAAGTGACGTGTGCAGATATGTTTTTCACTTTAAGAAACCACCCAGAGTGGCAGACTAAATGTGAAATTAATATAGCTCTGCCAGATCCCTAATTTTGGCTTTGGAAAAGAACAGGGAAAAACAGAAAGCTAAGCTGGAGAGATGTTGTTTAGCCTGTGATATTGGGGGAATGATGTTTAAAGTTAAAAAAGAAAACAAACCAAACAGAGTAATCAGGAAGATAGGTTGGGGGATTATGCATCACAGGTACCTCTGAGAGGAGCACTCTTGGCATCTGCCCTGTTACTGATAAGGAGGAAGAGGTTGCTGTCACTGGCAACAGAGCAGAAGGACTTGAGAATGTTAAAGAAGTGTGGAGAGTGTATAGGAATTGGGAACATGTAGAGAAGAAAGAGCTGAGTCGTGCTATAGGCATGGCTACAGTGGCTCCTTTGGGAAAAGTAGAAACTGGTGGAGGGACTAATGTGAGAGGACGAGGCAGAGGTAGAGGAGGAATGTCAGGCAGAGGTGAGAAATTGAATTCTCCTGTGGGATGGGGTTAGTGTGCATACTGTAAGGAGTTTGGATGTTGGAAGTGAGACTGACCTGGGGGGAGTGCTATGGGGTGGCTCCAGTGACTGAATTGGAACTAGACTGATGGGGACCTGGGGAATCTACCATAGCAGATCCACTGATTAAATTAAAAATAGGGACTAGAGGAAATAAAGTGGAATTTTTAAGTGGATACAGGAGCAACTTATTTGACGTTAAATCAGAGGAAAAGAATTTGTTACAGATGTGGGAGCTACTGGCCACCAAGAAAAAATACAACAAACAAAAAAACAAACAACAAAGAAACAAAACCAAAAAAAGCATTCTTTCTGAAAACTTTAGAGTATAAATTGGGAAAAGAAATAGGAATGCATAAATTTTTATACATGCCAAATTCTCCAAAAATCTTTATTAGGGCGAGAAGAAGCATTTAAAGAAGGCAAAATGGAATTAAAAGCCAAAAACTCTCAATTAATTGAAGTTTTGAGTTTATCTTTAATTCAACAGAAAAGCAAACAGGAGGACCTCCCTGAAATAGAAGAAATCCTTAATAAGGTATATCTGGGAGTATAGTCATCTGAAGTTCCAGGTAAGGCAAAAAACCGCTTTGCCTGTTAAAGTAGAAATAAAAGGGGGGCCTGCCCAATTAGAATAAACAATATCCCTGTTGTGTTTTAAACCAAGTCAGTCACACAGTTTCTACTGCCCCCCCCTTTCTTTCCTTCCCCCTCACCCCCCCCCCCCCCGGGATGGGGAGGAGAATCGGAAGAATGTAACTCCCACGGTTTGAGATAAGAACAGTCCAGTAACTGAGGTATAACACAAATCACTACTGCTACCACCAATAATAATAATGATAAGAGAAATAACAAGGGAAGAGAATTCAATACAACCCGCCGAAACGAGCCCTACCGAGAAGAGAGTGTCCTTCTGGGTAACTCCCAGTTACCTCCCCGGGCATGACGTGTTGTGGTATGGAATACCTCTTTGGCTAGATTGTGTCAGGTGTCCTGTCTCTGCTTTCTCTCAGCTTCCCCTCCTCCCTGGCAGAGCATGAGACTCACAAAGTCGTATGGCCAGTGTAAACATTTGAGCAGTAACTAAAAACATTGGTGTTATCAGCTCTGTTCCCAGGCTGAAAGTCAAAACACAGTGCTGCACCAGCTACTAAGAGGGAGAAAAAATGACTGCTACTGCTAAACCCAGGACAATCCCTTAAAACTGGAGGATCAAAAGGGAATCAAAGAAATAATTTTTTTTTTAAATATGGTTTATTAATTGAATGTGAATCAGAATATAATACTCCTATCTTGCCATTAAAGAAATCCGATGGGAAAAGTTACAGATTAGTTCAAGATCTCAGAGCAATCAACAAAATTGTGGAGGATATTCATCCAGTAGTAGTTAATTTGTATACCTTATTGACTTGATGTGCAGATATACTGCACAACTCGTTAAAGTTTGTCCTGGGTTCAGCAGTAGCAGTCATGTTTCTTCTTCTTGGTAGCTGGTGCAGTGCTGTGTTTTGACTTTCGTCCTGGGAACAGAACTGATAGAGATGTTTTGGTTTGGCCAAGGACTTTGTGAGGCTCATGCTCTGCCAGGGAGGAGGGGAAGCCGGGAGGAAGCAGAGACAGGACACCTGACCCAAACTGACCAAAGAGGTATTCCATACCACAGCACGTCATGCCCAGGGGTAACTGGGAGTTACCCGGAAGGACAGGGGCTTCCGGGTGGAACTCGCTTTCTTGGCCGGTGGTATCGTATTCTCTTCTCTTGTTATTTTCCCTTATCATTGTTTTAGCTGATAGTAGCGGTGGTGATTTGTTGCTGGACTGTTCTTGTCTCAACCCGTAGGAGTTGCACTCTCTCGATCCTCCTCCCCGTTCCTCCGGGAGCGGGGAAGGGGAGAGCCCCGGTGCAGGGGGGGGGGGGGGGGAGACGGACACGGACCTTGATTGTTGTCAGCTCGGCACCACTCACTGGGAGTGAGTGAACAAGTTACCTGACTGGGTTTAAACCATGACAAAGTTGTAAAGTAGGTATGTTTTATTCAGCGCTGAGTTGCATGGGGGATAACTCTTCCAAAGGCATGCGTGCCTTAGTGTCGTTTCCCCTTTACATTTATCCTCTAAAGTTATACATATGCATGAGGTTGCACAACACGCCTATACATATTCATGTCCTATTCCTGCATCGTATTATAATGACCTAAGAAGTCCTTTGCGCCTGCGCAGTGCCTCCTAGTGGTCGTGGGCGAGGGTTCCAAGATGAAGTAAACAAGTCTTCCTGGAGCCTGAACTTTTCACCTCTAGTCGTTATGCATTCTCCCTGGAGGTTTGGTCATTGTCCAAAGCGCAGAGCCAATTTCAGTCAGCCTAGGCGTCCAAAGGACTGGAATGAAGTCACGGTCCCTGCCTCTTAACAATAGCCACGTCCTTACATCTTGTTCTAGCATATATGGTGAGTACGATAAGCATAAACGAGTAGTAATATTGTTAAGCAAGTGGCTTGATCTACCCCCCTTGTATATTGCAAGTATGATAAGCATGAACAAACAATAACACTTAAACAAGCAGCTTGACCTACCCCCTGTACATCGGTTAACCCTTCGCATCAGACTAACTTGAGCAATAATCAGAAGTGGTTTACCATTTTGGACTTAAAAGGATGCATTTTTCTGTCTGCCCCTGGCCAAAGAAAGTCAAAATTTATTTGCTTTTGAATGTGAAAACCCTGAAACAGGAAGGAGGACACAGCTCACTTGGATGATGTTACCTCAGGGATTTAAAAAAAAGAAGTCTGACCATTTTCAGAAATCAATTGGCAAAAGAATTAGAATCTTGGGAAGCACCCACCCAGACAGGCACTTTACTACAATATGTTGATGACCTGTTAATTGCTACAGAAACTGAGAAAGAATGTGTAAAATGGACTGTAGAATTGTTAAACTTTCTAGGGCTAAATGGATAACTGGTATCTAAATTGAAGGCTCAACTAATTTAGGATGCAAAAATAACAGGAGGACAACCAGAACTTGGAGCAGCTCAGAAGGAAGCAATCTGTCAAACTCCGTGACCATCCACAGTTAAAGATATCCGGACATTTCTGGGAATGACAGCATGGTGTCTACTCTGGATCCATAATTATGGTGTTCTGGTAAGACACCATGAGCTGCTAAAATAAAATCCAACCTTTCTAAAATGGACAGATCAAGCTGAAGAAGTGTTTAGAAGTTTAAAGACGGAACTCATGAGAGCTCCAGCTCTGGGGCTTCTGGACATAACTAAACACTTCTGGCTATATTCCTATGAGAAACAGTGAATTGCCTTGGGGGTTTTGGCTCAAAGATTGGGACCTTATAAAAGAGCAGTGGCCTATTTTTCAAATCAGCTGGATGAACCAAGTAAAGGCTGGCCTGGATGCTTGAGAGCAGTGGCAGCAGTTATCTTAAACATCCAAAAGGCCCAAAAATTTACACTGGGACAAAAGATCACTGTGTTAGTATCACATGCAGTATCAACACTCCTAGAATCTTTCCTTCAGGAAACCCCTACTGAACTGTTGACTCACAACTGCTTGGCCACTATAGACAGTATATTCAAGCTGAACAGATCTGAAGGAGGAGCCTCTGGAGGCTGCAGATTCCTGGTTCACCAATGGCAGCAGCTTTATTAAAGATGGTAAATGAAGAGCAGGATATGCCATAACTACAACTTCAAAGGTAATAGAAGCTAAACCATTACCCTCTAACACCTCAGCACAAAAGGCAGAAATAATAGCCCTGACTAGAGCCTTGGAGTTGGCAAAGGACAAGCGATAAACATATGAACTGATTCCAAATATGCCTTTGGTGTAGTTCATGCACATGGAGCAATTTGGAAAGAATGAGGACTTTTAAATACCCAGGGAAGACAAATTAAACATGCAATGGAAATTCTACGATTGTTAGAAACTGTACAATTACCCAATGAAGTAGCTATCATACATTGTAAAGGTCATCAAAGAGGTAACTCTTATCAAGAGATTGGAAATAATTTTGCTGATCGTGAGGCTAAACGGGCAGCAGAAACAGAAAGAGTTGAGGTGATGTCCTTAATTCCTGACGGTAAACTGGTAATTAAGCAAAATAAACCTAGGTACTTGTGGAGACAGTATTCTCACGGGAGAATGGATAATTGGTACAGAAACTCTGAATAATCCTGAAAGACACAGCAAGGCCGTGAGAGGCCCAAGGAAGCTTAAGCAAGCAAGATAAGAAGAAGCTGGAATTCACTGAGTTAATGAGAACTGTGGACTGTTGGCAAGCTTTCGAGGTCAAGTTCTCACACCTGTGCTTAACCAATTATATGTTAGTCACTAAGGGTCTTCAAGACATGTATCCAATCATAATATGCCAAATCACTGTAACTGCATGTAAGAAATAGTATATAAGGAGTTAAGGCTTTGTAATAAATTTGGCAATCGCTTGATCACATTGATCGTCTCTGCGTTGTCCGTGACTCCCGCGTCAACAGGTACTCTAAAGAAGATATGAAACTAATTGAAGACTTGGAAGGACAGGAAAATGAAAAGGGTTGGATAAAAATACCTGATGGGTGAGTAGTGATCCCCTATAATCAATTATGGAAGTTGTTACAAGAAGAACATAACAAAAGTCATTGGAGAAGTAATGCCTTGTATAAACATTTAAACAGATCATAGGAAGAAATTTCTGTACCATAGTGCAATTAGTGACAAAACAATGTCAACTATGTCTGAAAAATAACCCTAAGACTGAAAACAGGAATTAGGTAGGGACAATTGGAAAAGTGAATTATCAGGGACAACAGTGGCAAATAGATTTTTCTGAATTACCTACAAAAGGAGGTTATTGATATTTGTTAGTATTGACAGATACTTTTTCAGGGTGGCCAGAAGCATTCCCTTGTGGAATAAATAATGCAAGACAAGTAATTAAAACATTATTAAACAATATAATACTTTGTTTTGGAGTACCAGTGGCAATTTCTTCTGACTGAGGCTCACACTTCAGTGCAAAATTGTTACAAGAAGTTAGCAAAAATTAGAAATTGATTGGCAACTACATGTTCCATACAGGCCTCAGGCCAGTGGGCAAGTAGAAAAGATGAACCATCTGATCAAACAACAGATTAATAAAATATGTCAGGTTATATTGGTACCAAGCCTTAGCACTGGCTCTATTAAGAATTCAAACTAAACCTCAGTCAAAAGAAGAGGTTGGCCCATACAAAATTTTATATGGCAGACCATATCAGTCCCAGTTTAAAGGAGAAAGTCTTCAGGAAGTGGGAGAAGGCTATCTCCGACACTTTCTGATTAATCTGGGAAAACAATTAGAAGAAATAAATAAGAGAATATTAGAGACAAGAGCGAGAGGTTTAGATTATCCTATTCATCCTTTTAAGCCAGGAGATTGGGTTTTTATTAAGAATTTTGCAGGTGTTCTCCTAGAAGAGAAGTGGAGTGGACCATACTAGGTATTACTGACTACCTTTACAGCAGTGAAGATAAAGGAACAGCCTGCTTGGATACATTACTCAAGAATCAAGAAGGCACCAGAACCCGAAACACATCAGAACCGAGAAAAAGTATGGCGTGTCGAGTCTTCAGTACCCACACATATGAGACTACATCGATCATAATTTGGACTTGTATAATAATAGGTGAAGAAGCATGGAATCAAAATCTATATCTGAGATTGATACAAAATATTACTAATGTCTTAAACAAGAGTGGTTGTTGGATCTGTACTCAGCTACCTAAATCAGGAGAGAGACTGGGTATTCCTTTAATTGGCCTCCCTATCCCCTTTAAAGACAAATTGGAATAGATTCTTGAGAGATCCTGTTTATACCGACAAGAGCCATACAAATTTACAGGTTTTAAGGACACAAGCCTCAAATATGTCAGAAGTTAAATGAGTAACCACTGTCGTGGTTTAAACCCAGTCAGGCAACTTGTTCACTCACTTCCCCCCTTCTTGCCCTCCCCCTGCTCCTGGAGGGACGGAAAGGAGAGTCAAAAAGAATGCAACTCCCACGGGTTGAGATAAGAACAGTTTAGTAACTAAGGTATAACACAAATCACTACTGCTACCACCAATTATAATAATGATAAAGGAAATAACAAGGGAAGAGAATACATCACCTCACCACCAGCCAACCGATAACTCACCCCCCAGCCCCGACCAAGCACCGACCCATACCTCCTCTAACCCCCCAGTCTCCCAGCCCTTCCGGCTAACTCCCAGTTACCTCCTGGGCATGACGTGCTGTGGTATGGAATACCTCTTTGGTCAGTTTGGGTCAGGTGTCCTGTCTCTGCTTCCTCCTGGCTTCCCCTCCTCCCTGGCAGAGCATGAGGCTCACAAAGTCCTTGGCCAAACCAAAACATTATTGCTATCAGCTCTGTTCCCAGGCCGAAAGTCAAAACACTGCACTGCACCAGCTACCAAGAAGGAGAAACATGACTGCTACTGCTGAACCCAGGAAACCAGTAACAAAACTCTTAATCAAGGCAACATGTCAGTAGGAAATTACCCATATTGCAGCTGGTCAATGCAACTTCACCTTCGATAACCTTTAGCTGGTTACTGGAATGTTCCTGAAGGGAAAGGGTGGTATTGGTTATGTGGAGAAAATGCCTCTAAGGCTTTGCCTCCTAACTGGAAAGGGGCATGCATACTAGGAGTAGTGATTCCAAACTACAGTAATTGACATTCATCCCTCTGGAACCTGGGTTCAGAGTTTTATTAAAAGAATCAAACGAGAATATAATCCCATAGCAGAATGAAACATTACTTTCCATAGCTTTGTTAGCTGGCTTATTCCATCTCTAAAATCAAATGGCATTAGATACACTGTTAGCATCCCAAGGAGGAGTTTGTTCTGTAATCAATGATAGCTGTTGTTCCTACATAGATCAAAGTGGAAGAATTACTACTGATCTAAAGGAAATGTGGAAACAAGTTAAAATATCGTCAATTGCTGAGGTGAGTAGCTCGAGAGAAGACGCCTTCAACACCGGAGGGGGGGGGGGAGATCAGCGTCCAGGAGCCTCAACTCGGAGAGACAAGAGCTACCGAGGAAGCCTCAAGTCCTCGACAGGACCTGCCCAGGAACCGGCGGCTCAGCTGACGTAAGCAGCTGACTCACAGGGGGCGGAGCCAGGAGCAGCGGTACCAGCCCTGACTGGTTAAAAACCTGCCCCAGGGAATGCGAGCGATTAGGAGTGTGTTGTGGCAGTTTGCGCGGGGTGATGAGCGCTCGCCGTAAAACCAGGGCCCGGTCTGGGAGCTCTTCTGTGGCTGCCCAGGCGGTGGCCAGCATAGGCATCCAGACAGAGCAGACGAGAGGGGAGGCTGCAGTACAGAGTTCAGAGTGTAGAGAGTGCCTGCACTAGTCTTGTGAGGGAAAGGTGCGCAATGGGCAGGGCTGCACTCAGTGCTCCCTGGTGGAGGTCCTCCTGCAGCAGGTGGCTGAGTTGCGGGATGCTATTAATAGGCTGCAAGATGTCAGGGTAGCTGAGAGTAAGCTTGCTCCAGGCCCAAACTGTGCAGGGGCCTCAAGCTTCCCCTCTAGCTCATGAAGGAAAGAAGGAGGCTGTTAACCTGGGAAAGCTGGAAATTAGAAACAAACAAAAAAAAAAACAACAAAAAAAGGAGGAAAAGGACAATTAAAAGCAAGGGGCTAAGACAAGGGGGGCACAAAATCACAAAATGGAATATAGAAACCTTTAGAATTAGTTTTAAGTAATGTTAAGTTTGATGGCTTTGTAATAGTAGCAATGGAAAATTACTGAGGTGCATGATACATAGAGAAAAAAATAGAGTACAGCTAGAAAACATACTGAGAATTCTCACAAGATAAATTGTTATAGTTGACATAGTTTTAAGAAAAACAGTCTAGAAGAACAGGACACAGGGATAAGGAGTATCTGGGAACCGCAGGTGTCCAGGATGGGCTACAGCTAAACTAACTGATAAGTAGGATAGGAGGATTATTATGTCTCTGGTGCTAACAAACCAATTAAACTGGTATAAGCATCTATTGCGCGTGCTTCAAAGGCTGCCAGAAGTGATGAAGATTGTTGGAAGAAGTAAATGACCCTCAGAGACCACCACCACAATTCTGTACACATGTGGGGAACTTTCTGGAAAATGATGTAATCCATATGTAGCCTCATGAATATGTATGTATGCCCAGTGGCTATAAAAGGATGGCTGATGATGAACCACAAGAAGGCCTTCAATGACATGAAGAACTAGTACAATGACATCACCCTTAAGAACCTGGAGCTCATCAGCTTGCTGAAGGTACTGCTGGCCACCAGCCTTGCCTGCAGAGTGTCATCCTGCCACTATGATAGCAGTCCTGGGAGGATTTCACCCAGATCTGGCCAGTTCCCAGGTGGTGGTGTGGGTGCTGCTGGTCTCTTGAAGGTTGTACACTGTTACATGAGTGAAGTTCTTGAGCCCAGGGAGGTGTGCTTGCTGGTCCAGCAGCAGGAGGGTGTCTGATGGTGTGGGAAGCTGTGAGGAGCTGGGCAGCCTCTGGGAGTTGGCACTTGTGTTCCCAAGAACAGGAGCAGATCAAGGACTTGCAGAAGAGAGTGAATCACTTGGAAAAGAAGGTGGATGTACTGCTCCAGAGCAAGCAGCTGAAGGAGTCCCTGCATCAGGCACAGGAGCAGGTGTTTGAGCTGCAGAAGTTGGTCCACTATGACAAGAACAAGGAGGCCCAGATGGTGAGTGGCCAGCCCAGCCTGTTCCCAAGTCACCCTGGACCTTCTGGAGGGAGTCACTCAGCAGTGACCTCTGCCACTTGGCTTGGCCAGGTTGCTGAGCAAAGTGAGTGAGTCCCTTTCAGCTTGACCAGGTGTTTGGGAGATCTCAGATGGGACTCCCAGAACTCTGAGAAACCAGAGTAGAGGGCAGGGAGATGCTTCTGCCTGTCTTTTCTCACCATGTCTCTGCTCCCTTGCTAGAACTCTCCCTCTGCTCACTCTCCTCCCTTGCTAGAACACATCTCCCACACCTCCCAGAGAAACCCCTGCTCTTTAACTGTCTCTTCCTGCTCACAGAATACAAAAGCCCATCTGAAAGTCACCTAGAAGGAACTGAAGGATCTTCAGTGGGAACACGAGGTGCTGGAGCAGAGATTCAGTAAGGTGAGAATTGCAGATGGATCTGGGCATTCTGCTTCCCTCTTCAAACCCTGTCCCTGCTGCGGGAAACTGAGCAGGAGAGTGTGCATAGTCAAGGGCTTTTCAAAAGTTCTAATCCAGAGCCATGTGATAACTGATGCTTCCAACAAAGCTTCTCCCAGCTTTGGCCTCTCCCACAGTCAGTAGACAAGCCTGGCCTTGTACTTTGCTAAGCAATCATGCATACTCCAGTGGTTCCTGCCTGGCCTGTGAGGGACTGTGACCACAGCAGTGTCTCAGGGGCAGAGAGATTGTCACAGGCCCTCAGCCCCAGCTCACTCCCTCCTCCTGCTGGTGTTCGGAGGTTGCTCCCACAGTTCTGGGGTGGCTCAGGATGAGTCCTGTTGACCAAGTTCTCCCAGACCCAGCCTTTCCCCCCTTCAGCTAATCCAGATAAATCTGTGGAGGCAGAAGGGAGCTCATTTGCAATTCATAGAAATCCCCAGAAATATGAACATTGATCTGAGGCCTTGTTAAACAACCTATAATTAAGGCAGCAACATATTCAGTGCATTCAGAAATAGGCTTTGGAGGAGAGATTGTGTCCTAATTAGGACACTTATTAACTAGCTGTGAGACAGGGACTGCTGCCAGCTGTGGGGAGGGTAGGAGAGACCCCCATGTGCTGTGGGGCCCTCTCCGAGGGCTAAAATAGTGCCGCAGTGAGTCTGTCAGCCCATTGGGCTCTCGGGGGTGGCCCATACCTAGAGGGGAAGTGGAAGCAGAAGTGCAGGTGCCAGCCTGGGAGGGAGGTAAGCTGTGCTCCAGCACCTGCCTTCCCCACGGGCTGCAGGTGCCATAGGGAATAGCTAGGCTCCTGCTGGAGCAGGCAGGGCTGAGCTGCTGGACCTGTTTGCAGGCAAACCCCTTGCCAGGGGTACTGAGCATGGTGTGAAGGTGGGCTGTGTTTCTGGGAGCAGGTGCAGGAAGAGTGAGATGAGTTCTACCAGAAATTCACCAAAGACATTAAGGAGGTGCAGCAGAAGACAGGGTTCAAGAACCTGCTCCTGGAGCACAAGATGAAAGGACTCCTCAGTGTCCTGGAGAAAATGGAAGTGGAGCTCAGCGAGGTCTTTGCTGCCTCGAACCTTGACCTGGGCCCCCTCACCTTGGTCTCACACAGGCTGAAGGTATCTGCACTGCCATGGGGTCCTGTGAAATCTGGCTTTGGGGGTGTCCTGGGTTCAGCAGTAGCAGTCATGTTTTTTCCTTTGTGTTAACTGGTGCAGTGCTGTGTTTTGACTTCTAGTTTGAGAACAGTGTTGGTGAAGCCGATGTTGTCGGTTGTTGCTAAGTGATGTTTACCCTGACCAAGGACTCTGTGAGGCTCATGCTCTGCCAGGGAGGAGGGGAAGCTGTGAGGAAGCAGAGACGGGGCGCCTGACCCGGGCTAGCCGGGGAGGTATTCCATACCACAGCACGTCATGCCCGGGGTGGGGGGTAACTGGGAGTTACCCGGAAGGACAGGAGCTTCCGGGTGGAACTCGTTTTCTTGGCCGGTGGTATCGTATTCTCTTCCCTTGTTATTTTCCCTTATCATTGTTTTAGCTGATAGTAGCGGTGGTGATTTGTTGCTGGACTGTTCTTGTCTCAACCCGTAGGAGTTGCACTCTCTCGATCCTCCTCCCCGTTCCTCCGGGAGCGGGGAAGGGGAGAGCCCCGGTGCAGGGGGGGGGGGGGGAGACGGACACGGACCTTGATTGTTGTCAGCTCGGCACCACTCACTGGGAGTGAGTGAACAAGTTACCTGACTGGGTTTAAACCACGACAGTTCTTTTTGGCGCCCAACGTGGGGCACGAGGGGTTGAGATAAGAACAGATCTGACTGGATTGATAGTCACTCGTCACAATGCTGATTTATTGGCTCTCAAGGTTTTTCCTCTTGATCTCACAGTTTCAGTATACCATATCTTACGTCCATCCGGTATTGGCTGTATTAGTGTTTTTCAAGTGTGGGGCTTGGGCTAAGGTTTTTATCCCATTGTACTTTATGGTAATGACTTGTAATACAATAGAATCATTGATCATGAAACTGATCTGGTTTATGTTCCCAGTGTGGTCACCACCTTTATACTTTGGGAGGTATATGATGGAGGTGCTTAGCAATTACACATCTTTTTTCTCCTTCTCAGGTGCTCAACCTGTGAAGGAGACATCCTTTTACCCTCCTAGTCGTCCCCCCAGACCATTTACATTTGAGAGTTTTGAATTTTTTGAATGGCCTTTTAATGCTGTTGAGACTTGTTTGCTGATGGTGATGGGAATCACCATGCTAACACGCATACAGAGTGTGTTTTGCCCACTACTGATTTCAAGAGTTAAGCAGAGTCAGGTTTGGGTCTTGTCTGGGGTCAAACGACGATGTAGGAGGACCGAGAGATTTTCCCAGAGCCTGGACAGCCATGAGTGGCAGGGTGTGTGGGATAGTATGGGCAAGTATCTAGGTCAGTGGGCCCCTCCAGTATTTTGGAATTTCACTACCGAACAACTGCAAAATCCAGAAGAATTAGTAAAACACTTAAATGAGGTGTGTGGTCATTCTGGCCATACCAGAGATGGACAAATCACGGCAACGTGCTGGGGCTTGGTCTATGCTTACAGGGCCTTGTTCAACACTATCCAGCACCTTCAAAAGGAAAAGAATATCGGCGGATTTGAGGGCAAAGCGACAGTCGCTACTCAAACTTTGGCTGCAATGAACTGCGCAGCTACCCCAGTGGCAAGTACAGCAGCTGCTCAAACTTCAACTGCAACAGACAGCGCGGTTACCCCAGCTCCAAGCACGGTAGCTACACCACCCCCAGCAACAAGTACAGTCGCTACTCAAACCACAGTGATAATCACTGCAGCCAAACCAGAGGACCAATTCATACCAATATCAGTTGCCCCTGTACGCAAGAGAACAAGCAAAAAGGAGGCAAAAAGGGTGAAGCGAGATGAAGAACCAATGAATTCACCACCCGGCCCAGAATCTGATCAGGAGTCATCATCACATGACGAAGAAGAAGAAGAAGAGGTAACTTCTCGACCTCGGACCTCAACCGAGCTGCGGAATATGCGAAAAGATTTTACCCGTCAACCAGGGGAGCACATCATCACCTGGTTACTCCGATGCTGGGACAATGGGGCCGATGGTCACGAACTAGAAGGTACAGAAGCCAAGCAGCTGGGATCACTTGCTAGAGAAGGGGGAATTGACAAAGCAATTGCAAGAGAGAAAAGGTCCCTCAGCCTTTGGAGGCGGCTCTTGGCAGCTGTGAAAGAAAGGTTTCCGTACAAGGACGATGTTACGAGTCGTTCGGCCAAGTGGACTACTATAGACAAAGGCATCCAGTCTCTGAGGGAATCGGCCATCGTAGAGATGATCTATCACATCAAGCCGAATAACGGGGATACACCTATAGATCCAGATGAAGTTGAATGTACACGACCCATGTGGCGAAAACTTACACGGAATGCACCGTCATCATATGCCCATTCATTGGCAACAGTAACCTGGAATGACATAGTACCACTAACAGTGGATGAAATGGTTCATAAACTCCGAGAGTTCGAAGACAATCTCACTCCTTCCATCATCTCAGCTGTGAAAAAACTGTCCCAGGACCTCGACAAATTGAGGGACGATGTATCTGATTTATCCAGCTCCTCACGTGTACCAACACACGTCTCAGCTATTAACAAAAGACGTCCTATTATTCAAGAGAGGAGATACAGAAGGTATACGCCACGGGGTACCCTATGGTTTTACCTGCTGGATCACGGAGAAGACATGACAAAGTGGGATGGAAAACCTACTTCAGCTTTGGAGGAACGGGTGAGTGAACTGAAGAGGGGAGCAAGGGCCAAGACTGATCGTCGCATGAGAGCTACGGCTTCAGTCTCTGGTGAGCAGTTTCCCAGATGGAGTGGAAGAGCTGATTTTACTCCAGCTCCTGTGATAATGAAGAATAATCCCTTTCAACACGACTTAAGTGTCCAATGCTGTGACGACCATTAGAGGGGCCCTGCCTCCAGCCAGGTGGAGGTAGGGGACAATCGGATTTACTGGACTGTGTGGATCAGATGGCCTGGCACATCAGTCCCACAGAAGTATAAGGCTCTAGTAGATACCGGTGCACAGTGTACCCTGATGCCATCAAGCTGTCAAGGGGTGGAACCCATCTATATTTCTGGAGTAACAGGAGGATCCCAAGAGTTGACTGTGCTGGAGGCTGAAATCAGCCTGACTGGGAGGGAGTGGCAAAAGCACCCTATTGTGACTGGTCCAGAGGCTCCATGCATCCTCGGCATAGACTACCTCAAGAGAGGGTACTTCAAAGACCCAAAAGTGTACCGGTGGGCTTTTGGTATTGCTGCTTTGGAGACTGAGGAAATTGAGCAGCTGTCCACCTTGCCTGGTCTCTCAGAAGATCCCTCTGCTGTGGGGTTGCTGAAAGTTGAAGAACAACAAGTGCCAATTGCGACCACAACAGTGCACCGGCGGCAATATCGCACCAACCGAGACTCCCTGATTCCCATCCATCAGCTGATCCGTAGACTGGAGAGTCAGGGGGTGATCAGCAGGACCCGCTCACCCTTCAATAGCCCCATATGGCCAGTGCGAAAGTCTAATGGAGAATGGAGACTAACAGTAGACTATCGTGGCCTGAATGAAGTCACACCACCATTGAGTGCTGCCGTACCGGACATGCTAGAACTTCAGTATGAACTAGAGTCAAAGGCAGCCAAGTGGTATGCCACGATTGATATTGCCAATGCATTTTTCTCCATTCCTTTGGCAGCAGAGTGCAGGCCACAGTTTGCTTTTACTTGGAGGGGTGTCCAGTTCACTTGGAACCGACTGCCCCAGGGGTGGAAACACAGCCCTACCATTTGCCATGGACTGATCCAGACTGCACTGGAACAGGGGCAAGCTCCAGAACACCTGCAATACATTGATGACATTATTGTGTGGGGCGATACAGCGGAAGAAGTCTTTGAGAAAGGGAGGAAAATAATCCAAATCCTGCTGAAAGCCGGTTTTGCCATAAAACGGAGTAAGGTCAAGGGACCTGCACAGGAGATTCAATTTTTGGGAATAAAATGGCAAGATGGACGTAGACAGATCCCCACAGATGTGATCAACAAGATAACAGCAATGTCTCCACCAACTAATAAGAAAGAAATGCAAGCTTTCTTGGGTGCAGTGGGGTTCTGGAGAATGCACATCCCAAATTACAGGTCGATTGTAAGCCCTCTCTATCATGTGACCCGGAAGAAGAATGATTTTAAATGGGGCCCTGAGCAGCAACAAGCCTTTGAGCAAATTAAACGCGAGATAGTTCATGCAGTAGCCCTTGGACCAGTCCGGACCGGGCCAGATGTAAAAAATGTGCTGTACACTGCAGCTGGGGAGAACGGTCCTACCTGGAGCCTCTGGCAGAAAGCTCCAGGGGAGACTCGAGGTCAACCCCTCGGCTTTTGGAGTCGGGGATACAAAGGATCTGAGGCCAGCTATACCCCAACTGAGAAAGAGATACTGGCAGCGTATGAAGGGGTTCGAGCTGCTTCGGAAGTGATTGGCACTGAAGCACAGCTCCTCCTGGCACCCCGGCTGCCCGTGCTGGGCTGGATGTTCAAAGGCAGGGTCTCCTCTACACATCATGCAACTGATGCTACATGGAGTAAATGGGCTGCACTAATTACACAACGAACTCGAATAGGAAATCCCAGTCGTCCAGGCATTCTAGAAGTCATCATGGACTGGCCAGAGGGCAAAGATTTCGGAATGTCACCAGAGGAGGAGGTGGTGCGTGCTGAAGAGGCCCCACCATATAATAAACTGTCAGAAAGTGAAAAGCAGTATGCCTTGTTTACTGATGGCTCTTGCCGTATTGTGGGAAAGCATCGGAGATGGAAGGCAGCTGTATGGAGTCCTGGACGACAAGTTGCAGAAACTGCTGAAGGAGAGGGTGAATCGAGTCAATTTGCCGAGGTGAAAGCCATCCAGCTGGCCCTGGACATTGCTGAACGAGAAAAGTGGCCAGTACTTTATCTCTATACTGACTCATGGATGGTGGCAAATGCCCTGTGGGGGTGGTTGAAGCAATGGAAGCAGAGCAACTGGCAACGCAGAGGTAAACCCATCTGGGCTGCTGCACTGTGGAAAGATATTGCTGCCCGGGTGCAGAACCTGGTGGTGAAGGTACGTCATGTAGATGCCCATGTACCCAAGAGTCGGGCCACTGAGGAACACCAGAACAACCAACAAGTGGATAAAGCGGCTAAGATTGAAGTGGCTCAGATGGACTTAGATTGGCAACATAAAGGTGAATTATTTTTGGCCCGGTGGGCCCATGACACTTCAGGCCATCAGGGCAGAGATGCGACATATAGATGGGCCCGTGACCGAGGGGTGGACTTAACAATGGACACTATTGCCCAGGTTATTCATGAGTGTGAAACATGTGCTGCAATTAAACAAGCCAAGCGGTTAAAGCCTCTTTGGTATGGAGGACGATGGTTGAAGTATAAATATGGGGAGGCCTGGCAGATTGACTCTATCACACTGCCACCAACCCGCCAAGGCAAGCGCCATGTGCTTACCATGGTGGAAGCAACCACCGGGTGGCTGGAAACATACGCTGTGCCCCATGCCACTGCCCGGAACACTATCCTGGGCCTTGAGAAACAGATTTTGTGGCGACACGGCACCCCAGAGAGAATTGAGTCAGACAATGGGACTCATTTCCGGAATAACCTTATAGATATTTGGGCCAAAGAGCATGGCATTGAGTGGGTATATCACATCCCCTACCATGCACCAGCCTCTGGGGAAATCGAACGGTACAATGGGCTGTTAAAAACTACACTGAGAGCGATGGGTGGGGAACTTTCAAGCATTGGGATACACATTTACCAAAGGCCACCTGGTTGGTCAACACCAGAGGATCTGCCAACAGGGCTGGCCCAGCCCAGTCAGAACTTTTACATATTGTAGAGGGGGACAAAGTTCCCGTGGTGCATATGAAGAATTTGCTGGGGAAGACAGTCTGGGTTATTCCTGCTTCAGGTAAAGGCAAACCCACTCGTGGGATTGCTTTTGCTCAGGGACCTGGATATACTTGGTGGGTAATGCGGGAAGATGGGGAAGTCCGATGTATACCTCAAGGGGATTTGATTTTAGGGGAAAGCAGCCAGTGAACTCAATTGTATGCTGTTGCCTGCTGTGTAATGCTTTTATAGCCCATCAACTAGATGTCTCCAGGTCACCAGCGACTGGCCCTGACTTCCCTCCAGCCATCATCCCAACAGAGAATGAACTTGGAACATCATGGACCGAATGGACTCGGCAGCATTATAGGGATTGGTCCATGCACTAAGAAAATGATTTTTTCCTCTTGGTCTGTATGTATATGGATGTATATATGTGGGAGAGCGATGGTGTATTGAAAATGTGGGATCTGAGCACGACGTGAATGGTATGGAATAAGGGGTGGATAATGTCCTGGGTTCAGCAGTAGCAGTCATGTTTTTTCCTTTGTGTTAACTGGTGCAGGGCTGTGTTTTGACTTCTAGTTTGAGAACAGTGTTGGTGAAGCCGATGTTGTTGGTTATTGCTAAGTGATGTTTACCCTGACCAAGGACTCTGTGAGGCTCATGCTCTGCCAGGGAGGAGGGGAAGCTGTGAGGAAGCAGAGACGGGGCGCCTGACCCGGGCTAGCCGGGGAGGTATTCCATACCACAGCACGTCATGCCCGGGGTGGGGGGTAACTGGGAGTTACCCGGAAGGACAGGAGCTTCCGGGTGGAACTCGTTTTCTTGGCCGGTGGTATCGTATTCTCTTCCCTTGTTATTTTCCCTTATCATTGTTTTAGCTGATAGTAGCGGTTGTGATTTGTTGCTGGACTGTTCTTGTCTCAACCCGTAGGAGTTGCACTCTCTCGATCCTCCTCCCCGTTCCTCCGGGAGCGGGGAAGGGGAGAGCCCCGGTGCAGGGGGGGGGGGAGACGGACATGGACCTTGATTGTTGTCAGCTCGGCACCACTCACTGGGAGTGAGTGAACAAGTTACCTGACTGGGTTTAAACCACGACAGGGGGGCAAAGGCTGCTTGGGGGTGAACACAGACCTTGGAACCTATGATTCTCCCATCCTACATGGCTGTAGCTGCCAGCAACCCAGGGTGCTCTGTGCGTGGGGAGTCACACCCAGTGGACTCTGCCTGGCCTCCCTGGCTGCAGAGGTGGTGTAGATGGGTTCCCAGGTGCCCTGCAGAGTCTGTCCTGCTAAAGATGCCTGTGCAGAAAGCCTTGGTGTAGAGGCTGGGAGACCCATGTTCCTGTAACCTGCCACATCTGTAACCAGAGAAGCAGCACTTGCTTCGGGTTGGTAGAGATGCAGGAGACTTGGACTCCATACTCTGCTTGTCCACCGTCCTGGTGCCCTCCTGCTCATCACATGCCAGCCTGTCCCCTTCCACATCCTTCTGCTGTGTGCAGCAGTGATGTTTGTGGACACCCTCTTGCCAGGGTGCCCTGGGGATGGGCACAGCAGCAGCTGAGGCTCTGGGGCCATAGGACAGATGTGTCACCTACTAGCAGGTGTCACAGCAGCAGGAAGGAAAACATACCTGGGAAGGTGTCATGACATTGAGCTCTCCCGCAGCTGCTGGGGTCCTGGAATTCCTTAGTTCAACTGCTGTCAGCATCTTCTCAGGGAGCCTCTCCTTGTAATTCTTCTGGTGCTGTGATGGGAAGGCGGCACTGCTGGAGCAGGTGCTGCTGTTGTGTCCCCCTTGCAGCAGGGCAGACAACGACACCGGAGCTGTGTCGTGGCTTCACCCCAGCAAATACCTCAGAATCATGCAGCTGCTTGCTCACTCCCCTCTTCCCCCCCCAGGTTGGATGGGGAGGAAAATCGAAAGAATGTAAATCCCATGGGTTGAGATAAGAACAGTCCAGTAACTAAGGTATAACACAAAACCACTACTGCCACCACCAATAATAATAACGATAAGGGAAATAACAAGGGGAGAGAGAATAAAACTAAAAAGGGAAGGGGAAAAAAACAATAAACACAAGTGATGCCAAATACAGGTGTTCACCACCTGCTGACCGATACCCAGCCTGACCTGAGCAGCATCTGGGCCTTCCGGGTAATGGCCCCCATTTTATATACTAGCATGATGTGCTATGGTATGGAATACCCCTTTGGTTAGTTTGGGTCAGGTATCCTGTCTCTGCTTCCTCCTGGCTTCCCATGCCCCTCCTCATTGGCAGAGCATGAGACTGAAAAGTCCTTGATCAGGGTAAGCGTTCCTTAGCAACAACTAAAACATTGGTGTGTTATCAGTATTGTTCTCAAACCAAAGCTGAAAACACAGCACTGCACCAGCTGTGAGAGGAAAGGGAAAAATAACTGTTACAGCTGAGCCTAGGACAAGCTGTGTTGGTGGTTGTTGGTGTGAGAGGTCTCCCTCCCTTGCTGCTGCTGGGGCCTGGCTGTCCCTGGCAGTGCTGGCTCAAAGGGCACAGGCTGTACTGGAAGCAGCTCTACTTGAGCCATGCCCTGGGGCCAGCTTAGCCATGCTGCTGGGGCTGGGCAGCCACTGCCTAACGTGCCCTCTCCCTTTGCAGGACATACTCAATTCCAAGAATGCCACCATCAAGTACCAGCAGCTCCAGCTGGCCCAGGTCTGCAAGGTGATGGAAGGGGCTGGGGCTGCCCTGTCCCCTTGGCTCCAGGTTGGAAGCTGTTGGGTGATGGCTGCAGCTTGGGGGGTGGAAATGGGTCCTTCTGTTCCAGGCCTTGTCCAGAGCAGAGGGGAGGGAATCCACAGCAGGCCAGCCAAGTGGCTTCATGCCCTGGGCAGTCAGAACCCAGTGCAGGCTGCCATTTGCCTGGCACAGGAAGACATATTGGGGTTCCTCCTCATGCAGGGGGGTGTGGGGAATCCAGGCACAGAGGGGCTGTCATGGAGCTGGACTTCAGGCTGACCAGGGGGACACTTCTCTTGCAGGTGCACAATGACATGTGAAACAAGGGGGCACAAAATCACAAAATGGAATATAGAAACCTTTAGAATTAGATTTAAGTAATGTTAAGTTTCATGGCTTTGTACCAGTAGCAATGGAAATTTACTGAGGTGCATGATACATAGAGAAAAAAATCGAGTACAGCTAGAGAACATACTGAGAATTCTCACAAGATAAATCATTATAGTTGACATAGTTTAAGAAAAACAGTCTAGAAGAACAGGACACAGGGATAAGGAGTATCTGGGAACCGCAGGTGTCCAGGATGGGCTACAGTTAAACTAACTGATAAGTAGGAGGATAGGAGGATTATTATGTCTCTGGTGCTAACGAACCAATTAAACTGGTATGAGCATCTACTGCGCGTGCTTCAAAGGCTGCCAGAAGTGATGAAGATTGTCAGAAGAAGTAAATGACCCTCAGAGACCACCACCACAATTCTGTACGCATGTGGGGAACTTTCTGGAAAATGATGTAATCCATATGTAGCCTCATGAATATGTACGTATGCCCAGTGGCTATAAAAGGACGGCTTGTGTGGCAATGGGGAGACACACGTTAGGAGGGGCTATCCCCCGTGTCTCCCAGTGCTGCAATAAAGAATACCTGCTTGTCAGCTTGAAAACTTTGTTGTCAAGTTTGTTCCTGGAGTTTTCTCTGAATCAATTTGGCACCCCAGATGGGACCCTCTCTGCTCGGCTGCAGGACCCGCTGAGGACAGGGCTCCCTAGGGCCCTCAGGAATTTTTCCCAGAGGGACCCCTCGACTCATTCGGATCGCTGTGGGAGCAGACAAGGACCATCTCATAAAAGGTATTCTTTTATTTTATATAGTTTGTAAGGTGCAGGGGGCATCTTGGTTTGGTAAAATGGTTTGGTCAATTGGTAAGTGTGCGCATGGTTTGGAAGCCTTCCATAAATCGAGATAGGAAATCTCGTAGGTAAAGGCATATACCCGGCTGCTAGCGTCCGTTTGGTATACACCCACAAGAAGCAGGGGGCTTCTTGTGGTTTGGGTCCTGCAAGACACAGGGGGTGTCTTGTGGAAATGGTTTTGGATTTTACTGGCATACACCCATAAGAAGCAGAGGTCTTCTTGTGGTTTGGGTCCTGAAAGACGCAGGGGGTGTCTTGTGGAAATGGTTTTGGATCTTGTTGGTATTTATTTTGTGGCTTGTTACATTAAGGATTTTGGTCTTGTGATTTTGGTATCAGTGACAGACTGTTATAACTAAGTAGGGGGCATCTTGTGGTTTGGGTCCTACAAGACACAGGGGGTGTCTTGTGGAAATGGTTTTGGGTCCAGTGTGCTATCAACAGCCCATAAGGGATTTGATTCAGTGATGCTGTCAGTGTGGGTCCCTGAATAGGTTAGTCGAGTCACCCTCCGATACAGTGGGCTGTCCAGTACGTCCCACAGTGGAACGCAGACAGGCTGGTTGGGCACAAGAGTCTAGTCCTTCTTGGGACGCTGACAGGCTGGCCAACTATAAAGGGTTCAAGGAACCCCCCTATTAATGTTGCAATATGGTCTGAGCCATAGGGGTTAGGATGTATTGCTTTTGATTATACTGGTATTCGTCTTATTTTGTGGCTTGTTACAGTAATGATTTTGGTCTTGTGATTTTGGTACTGGTGACGGGATGTTATAACTGTTATTAACTGTTGTTTGACTGAATTTTAGTCTCTGTCTCAAGTGTTGTAACTGTGTGGAGTGTGTCTGTGGGATCCCGTTTGTGTATATGTGTGTGAATGTGAGATTGATAATGGAAAATCAGCAGAGTGAAGACATCTTGAAAAAGAGTCTTTTGGGTGCATTTTGGCACACTGGAAAGAACTTGGAGAGTCTCCTGGGGTTCGGTAAATAAGAAAACATTGGTAAAATATTGTAACCGATGGTGGCCTTTGTACACTTTGGAAGATCAGGAAAAATGGCCTAAAAATGGAACTTTGAACTATAATACATTGTTACAATTAATGTTGTTTTGAGGTGGCAAGGAAAATGGGATGAAGTAATGTATGCAGATAAGTTTTTCACTTTAAGAAATCACGCGGAGTGACAGACTGCATGCAAAATTAATATAGCTCTGCCAGGTTCCTTAATTTCGGCTTTGGAAAAGGACAGGGAAAAACTGAAAGTTAAGATGAAGAGATGTTGTTCAGCCTGTGATATTGGGGAAAGATGTTTAAAGTTAAAAAAACAGTAATCAGGAAGATAGGTTGAAAATTATGTATCACAGGTACCTCTGAGAGAAGCACCCTCTGCATCTTTCCTATCTGATATTGATAAGGAGGAAGAGATTGCTGTCACTGGCAACAAGCAGCACATTCACATTCAGAGTTAAGAAAGGGTTAAACCGGAAGTGCTGTTGCAGAGGCAGGCATCTGCAGCTCCTGCAGAGCAGGGTGAACAACCGTGAGGGAAAAAAAAAAAGGGAAAACCAAGGGGGAAAGGGGGGGAGCTCAGGGCAGCTCCTGTGTTTGAGCATGGAGGAGTGACGACGGGCAGAGGTTGGGGGAGTGGGCTCTTCTGTGGAAACAGATCGGTGTGCGTGCTATGGGGAGTTTGGACGTTGGAAGTGAGACTGCCCTGGGGGGGGGGGCAGTGCCATGGGGTGGCTCCGGTGACTGAATTGGGACTAGACTGACAGGGACCTGGGGAATCTACCCTAGCAGATCCTCTGATTAAAACTACGGACTAGAGGAAATAAAGAGGAATTTTAGTGGATAAAGGAGCAACTTATTTGGTGTTAAATCAGAGAGGAAAGAATTTGTTACAGATGTGGGAGCTACTGGCCACCAAGAAAAAGCAGAAGAAAAAAAAAAAGGCATTCTATCTGAAACCTTTAAAGTAAATTTTGGGAAAACAAATAGGAATGTATAATTTTTTATGCATGCCAAATTCTCCAAAATCTTTATTAGGGCGAGAAGCAACATTTAAAGAAGGCAAAATGGATTTTAGAGTTAAAAACAGTCAATTAATTGCAGTTTTGAGTTTATCTTTAATTCAACAGAAAAGCAAAAAGGACCTCCCTGAAATAGAAGAAATCCTTAATCAGGTATATGTGGGAGTATGGGCATCTGAAGTTCCAGGTAAGGAAAAAAAATGCTTTGCCTGTTAAAGTAGAAATAAAAAGGGGGACCTGCCCAATTAGAATAAAACAATATCCCTTAAAATTGGAAGATCAAAGGGAATGAAAAAAAAAATTGATAAATTTTAAAATATAGATTATTAATTGAATGCGAATTGGAATATAATCCTCCTATCTGGACAGTAAAGAAATATGATGGGAAAAGTTGCAGATTGGTTTACAATCTCAGGGTAATCAACAAAATTGCAGAGGATATTTGTCCAGTAGTAGCTGATTCATATGATTTATTGACTAAATTGAATAATAATCAGAAAAGGTTTGCCGTCTTGGATTTAAAGGACGCTTTCTTTTGCTTACTATTGGCCAAAGAAAGCCAAAATTATTTGCTTTCGAATGAGAAAATCCTGATGCAGGAAGAAAAACTCAATTAACTTGGCCGGTATTACCTCAAGGGTTTAAAAACAGTCCAGCAAATTTTGGAAATCAGCTGGCATGAGAACTAGAATCATGGAAGCCACCTACTCAGACGGGGTCTCTGTTACAATATGTGGATGACCTATTAATTGCTACAAAGGAAGAATGTATCCAGTGGACAGTGGAATTATTAAATTTTGTGGGACTGAATGGTTATCAGGTATCCAGACAAAAGGCCCAACTAATCCAAACCCGAGTTTCCTACCTAGGATATGAAGTAGCAGGAGGAGAGAGAGAACTTGGAACTGCCAGAAAAGAAGCCATTTGCCAGACTCCACGACCGTCGACTGTCAAGGAGCTCCAGACATTCCTGGGAATGACAGGGTGGTGCAGACTTTGGATCCATGATTATGGTGTTCTGGTAAGACCACTATATGAACTGTTGAAGGGAAACCCTCCCTCTTTGGACTGGACTGATAAAGCAGAGGAGGCTTTTAGAAATTTAGAGTTAATGAGAGCTCCAGCTCTGGGACTTCCGGATGTGACTAAACCATTTTGGCTATATTCCTATGAAAAACAAGGAATAGCCTTGGGGTTCCTTGCTCAGAAACTAGGACCATACAGAAGGGCAGTGGCGTATTTTTCAAAACAGCTGGATGAAGCGAGCAAAGGATGGCCCGGATGCCTAAGGGCTGTGGCAACAGTCGTCATGAATATTGAAGAGGCTCGCAGATTCACCTTGGAACAAAAGATTACTGTGCTAGTGTCCCATGTGGTATCAGCAGTCCTGGGGCAGAAAGGAGCCCACTGGTTATCTCCTTCACGTTTTTTAAAATAGCAGGCCACCATTGTTGAACAGGATGTTATAGAAACTGTGGTCACTAATGTTGTGAATCCAGCATCCTTTTTGCAGGAACAATCGACAGAACCACTAACACACGACTGCTTGACCACCGTAGAGACTGTATATTCAAGCACCAGACTTGAAAGAAAAACCTCTGGAAGATGCTGATTCTTGGTTTACTGATGGCAGTAGCTTCATGAAAAATGATAAAAGAAAGACAGGATATGCCGTTACCACCACTTCACAGGTAATAGAAGCTAAACCTGCAAACACCTCTGCCCAGAAGGCAGGAATAATAGCATTAACAAGAGCCCTGGAATTGGCTAAAGATAAAAGGATAAATATTAGGACTGATTCTAAATATGCATTTGGTGTGATACATGCACATGGTGCTATCTGGAAAGAATGAGGACTTTTGAACATACAAGGGAAACAGATTAAACATGCTACAGAAATTCTACAATTACTGGAAGCTGTCAGCTACCTGAAGTAGTAGCTATTATGTACTGTAAAGGGCATCAACAAGGTGACTCTGATCAGGAAACTGGAAATAATTTGGCTGATTTTGAAGCCAAACAAGCAGCTGAACAATCTCAAATCATGTCCTTAATCCCTGACAGCAAACTAACAGTTGAAAAATCTAAACCTAGGTATTCAAAAGAGGATAGAAAATTGATTGAGGATCTAAAGGGACAGGAAAATAAAGAGGGTGGGATTCAGATACCTGATGGGCAAACTGTAATCCCCTATAACCAAGTCTGGTAGTTAGTTCAGGAGGAACGTAATAAAACTCATCAGGGTAGCAACTCTTCGTATAAATACTTAGACAAACAAATTGTAGGAAGGAATCTATGCACCACAGTTCAATTACTGACAAAACAATGTCAGGTATGTCTTAAGAATAATCCTAAAACTGAAAATATAAATCAAATTCGGACAAGTGGGAGAGGACGTTATCCAGGACAGCAGTGGCAAATAGATTTTTCTTAATTACCAGGAAAAGGGGGTTATTGATATTTGTTGGTGTTGACGGATACTTTTTCCGGCTGACCAGAAGCATTCCCTTGTAGGATAAATAATGCAAAACAAGTGATTAAAACATTATTTAAAGAGATAATACCTCATTTTGGGGCACCAGAGTCAATTTCTTCCTACCGAGGCTCACACTTTAGTGCAAAATTGTTACAAGTGATTAGCAAAATATTAGAAATTGATTGGCAACTACATGTTCCTTACAGGCCTCAGGCCAGTGGGCAAGTAGAAAAGATGAACCCTCTGATCAAACAACAGATTAGTAAAATATGTCAGGAAATGAATTTATATTGGTACCAGGCATTATCACTGACTCTATTAAGAGTTCGAACTAAACCTCGTTTGAAAGAAGAGGTTAGTCCATTTGAAATTTTGTATGGAAGACTGTATCAGTCCCAGTTTAAAGGAGAAAGTCTTCAGGAAGTGGGAGAAGGCTATCTCTAACAGTTTATGATCAATCTGGGAAAACAATTGGAGGAGATAAATAAGAGAATAGTCGGGACAAGAGCAAGAGGTTTGGATTATCCGATTCACTCTTTCAGATCTGGAGACAGGGTTTATGTTAAGAATTTTTCAGGAGATCCTCTACAGGAGAAGTGGAGCGGACCGTACCAGATATTACTGACCACCTTTACATCAGTGAAGATAAAGGAACAACCTGCTTGGATACATTATTCAAAAATTAAGAAAGCACCAGAGCAAGAGAAGACATGGCAGATCGAACCTTCGGGACCCTTACGTATGAAATTGCATCGGTTATATTTTGGACTCATATGATAACTGGCGCACAAGCTTGGGACCAGAATTTATACCTGAAATTAGTGCAGAATGTTACTGATGTTTTTAATCGTAGTGACTGTTGGGTGTGTGCACAGTTGCCTAAATCAGGAGAAAGCCTGAATCTCCCATTAGTTGGAGTTCCAATTCCTAACACTGTCTCATGGACAAATTTGTGGGTGAACGCTAGCGATCTGTATTTGAAGGAAAGTTTAAAATTTGGAATAGTTAATCCTAATCCAGGTAATAAATATTACACCTGTGCACAAAGATGTATTACACCAGGAACCAGGGTAGGAAATCTTGCTTAAATGCCACACATGTAGGTCACCATTCAAATTGCAATCATACTATTAACACAGATGGTATCATAGTTCAGTGATGGCCCGTTCCTAAAAGGAAAGGATGGTACTGGTTATGTGGAGAAAATGCTTATAAGACTCTAACCCCCAACTGGAAGGGGGCATGCACCTTAGGTGCTGTAATACCCAATTTTAACCAGCCTCTCTAAAGTGGTTTTACAAAACCGAATGGCTCTAGACATGTTATTGGCATCACAAGGAAGGGTTTGTTCCATAATCAATGAAAGCTGTTGTTCCTATATAGACCAAAGTGGCAGAATCGAAACAGATCTGGAGAAAATTTGGAAACAAACTAAGATATTTCATGAAATGGCCATGGATGACACCTCCTGGGGTTTTGAAGAAATATGGAAAAAGTTAACTTCATAACATAACCGATCTCTCCTGGTTGAGGCAACTGGTTGCAGTTATATTGATGTTAATTATTTTAATATTGATTACTTGTGGTATGATACAATGTTCCCTCTGGTGTTGTAAACGGTCTATGATTGGAAAAGGAATGAAATTAAGCACCAAGTAGAAATAGGAAATTATTTCAGAAAGAATTTTGATGGTAATGGTAATGTATAAAATGTTGCAAAAGAATTTGCAAAAGGACGGAAAAAGGGGGGAATTTGAAACAAGGGGGCACAAAATCACAAAATGGAATATAGAAACCTTTAGAATTAGATTTAAGTAATGTTAAGTTTGATGGCTTTGTAACAGTAGCAATGGAAAATTACTGAGGTGCATGATACATAGAGAAAAAAAATCGAGTACAGCTAGAGAACATACTGAGAATTCTCACAAGATAAATCGTTATAGTTGACATAGTTTAAGAAAAACAGTCTAGGAGAACAGGACACAGGGATAAGGAGTATCTGGGAACCGCAGGTGTCCAGGATGGGCTACAGTTAAACTAACTGATAAGTAGGAGGATAGGAGGATTATTATGTCTCTGGTGCTAACGAACCAGTTAAACTGGTATGAGCATCTACTGCACGTGCTTCAAAGGCTGCCAGAAGTGATGAAGATTGTTAGAAGAAGTAAACGACCCTCAGAGACTGCCACCACAATTCTGTACGCATGTGGGGAACTTTCTGGAAAATGATGTAATCCATATGTAGCCTCATGAATACGCATATGCCCAGTGGCTATAAAAGGACGGCTTGCGTGGCAATGGGGAGACACATGTTAGGAGGAGCTATCCCCCGTGTCTCTCGGCGCCGCAATGAAGAATACCTGCTTGTCCTCTTGAAAAATTTGTTGGCAAGTTTGTTCCTGGAGTTTTCTCCAAATTAATTACCAAGAGATTTTCCCCAAGGATGGACATCCATGAGTGGCAGGGTGTGTTGGACAGTATGGGCAAGTATCTACTCCAGTGGGTCCCTCCTGTGCTTTGGAAACGTCGGAGATGGAAGGTAGCTGTATTGAGTCCCTGATGAAAAGTTGTAGAACCTGCTGACGCAGAGGATGAAGCGAGTCAGTTTGCCCAGGTGAAAGCCATCCAGCTGGCCTTAGACATTGCTGAACGAGAAAAGTGGCCAGTACCTTATCTCTATACTGACTCATGGATGGTGGCAATTGCCCTGTGGGGGTGGATGCAGCAATGGAAGCAGAGCAACTGGCAACGCAGAGGTAAACCCATCTGGGCTGCTGCACTGTGGCAAGATATCGCTGCCTGGGTGCAGAACCTGGTGGTGAAGGTACGCCACATAGATGCTCATGTACCCAAGAGTCGGGCCACTGAGGAACACCAGAACAACCAACAAGTGGATAAAGCTGCTAAGATTGAAGTGTCTCAGATGGTCTTAGATTGGCAACATAAGGGTGAATTTTTTTTGGCCTGGTGGGCACCTGACACTTCAGGCCATGAGGGCAGAGATGCAACATAAAGATGGGCTCGTGATCAACTGGTGGCCTTAACAATGGACACTACTGCCCACGTTATTCACGACTGTGAAACCCCCATTTTCAAGAAGGGGAAAAGGGATGACTAAAAGGGCTAGATCACTGCTCAGGTCGGGCTGTGTATCAGTCAGTGGTGGTGAGCAGTTGTATTCTATTTCCTTGTTATTTCCTTTATCATTATTATGATAAACTTCATAAAAGAGTCTGGTGCAATAAACCCCTGAAGAAAAGTACAAAGATTAGTGTCTATAGAGCCATTGTACTGTCTGCTCTTTTATATGGATCTGAATCATGCGTTATCTACCGCCATCACCCCTGACTCCTCGAACACTTCCATCAGCGCAGCCTCCATACAATTCTAAACATCCATCGGACTGACTATGTGTCAAATGTTACTGTCCTTGAACAGGCAGGGGTCACCAGTATCGAGGCCATATCGCTGAAATTGCAGCTGCTCTGGACAGGGCACGTCTGCAAGATGGAGGATCACTGCCTCCCTAATATCGTGTTTTACAGTGAACTTGCCACCAGCTGCCGCAAGTGCACCAAAGAGGAGATATAAGGACTCCCTGAAACAATACATCAGCCTTGGCCATATTGACTATCATCAGTGGTCCACCTTGGCCTCCAATCGGGAGACTTGGAGACACACCATACATAATGCTGTTGACTCCTTTGAGAACTAGTCTCGAGGAGAAAAGGCAGCGTAGAAAGAATCATGCCTCGCCTATACCACCCAAGGAGACTTTTTGCTGTGCTTTTTGCAACTGGATTTGCCTATCCCACATTGGCCATTTTAGTCATCAGCGCGCTTGTAGTAAGCGTGGGTAAAGCCCTTCCCAAGTCTTTGTTCGCGAAGTCAAGCCATCATCATCATTATTATTGGTGGTAGCAGTAGTGGTTTTGTGTTATACCTTAGTTACTGGACTGTTCTTATCTCAACCTGTGGGAGTTACATTCTTTCGATTCTCCTTCTCATCACTCCGGGAGAGGGGGAGGAAAGTGGGGGGAGTGAGCCAGCGGCTGCATGGTTCTGGGTTGCTGGCTGGGCTTAAACCACAACAGGAGGAAAATTATCCAAATCCTGATGAAGGCCTGTTCTGCCAGGAAACAAAGTAAGGCCAAGGAACTTGCACAGGAGATTCAATTTTTGGGTATAAAATGGCAATATGGACATTGTTGGATCCCCACAGTTGTGATCAACAAAATTACAGCAATGTCTCCCCCAACTAATAAGAAAGAAACACAAGCTTTCTTGGGTGTTGTGGTGTTCTGGAGAATGCACATCCCAAATTACAGTTTGATTGTCAGCCCATTTTATCATGTGACCCAGAAGAAGAATGATTTCAAATGGGGCCATGAGCAGCAACAAGCCTTTGAGCAAGTTAAATGAGAGTTAGTTTATGCAGTAGCCCTTGGGCCAGTCCGGACCAGGCAAGATATGAAAAATGTGTTTTATACCACAGCTGGGAAGAGCAGTCCTACTTGAAGGCTCTGGCAGAAAGCTCCAGGGGAGACTCAAGGTCAACCCCTCAGCTTTTGGTGTTGGGATACATATGATCTGAGGCCGCCTGTTCTCCAACTGATAAAGAGATACTGACAGCCTATGAAGGGGTTCGAGCTGCTTCAGAACTTATTGTCTCTGAAGCAGAGCTCCTCCTGACACCCTGGTTGTCCATGCTGGGCTGGATGTTCAAAGAGAAGTTCTCCTCTACACATCATGCAACGGTCGCTTTGTGGAATAAGTGGGTTGCACTAAGTACACAGTGAGCTCAAATAGGAAATTCCAGTCATCCAGGAATCTTGGAAGTGATGATAGACTTGCCAAAAGGCAAAGATTTCAAAATGTGGCCAGAAGATGAGATGAAATGTGCTGAAGAGGCCCCACTGTAAAATAAATTACCGGAAAGTGGGAAGCAATATGCCTTGTTTACTCATGTGTCCTGCCATATTGTGGGAAAGCGTCGAAGACGGAAGGCAGCCTTAAACCCATCTGGGTTGCCACATCCTTGGTTACCCATTGTTACAGCTGAGCGTTTCCAGGGCCAGTGAGTCTGAGCAGACCAACCCGGGAGACGAAGAGTCAGAGTCTGGAAGCAGAGGATATAAATCTGGCTGGGATTCGGGGGCTGATCCTGGGCAGAACTCAGGGTCTCCGTTGCTCGCAGCTGTGTCTTTCTTATCAGATGTCTCTTGTTCGGTATGTAGCCATCTGCAGACCTGGCTCCTCCGTAACTGAGTTAAAAATTTCCACTCTAGGGCATAGTGGGTTCCTTTTAATCTCCCGCTAGCGCATGATCTCTATTTTCTACTGCGTGCTTCAAAATGGCGCCCCAATCGATCCGGCGCAGAGGCGCCGCCCTCTTTCTTTCAGATTCCTCGACATTTATCATGCGTATCCCTTCTAATATACTTTCTCTGTCCTTTTCAAAGTCCCTGCTTTCGGAACTGGGGTGGTGGGGGAGCAGGGGGTTACACCTCCTCCGCGGCACCTTCTGATGGAGGGGGAGAAAAGGAAGGCAGGGGAAACCCTGTGCTCCCGCAAGTTGGGGGAAACAAGTTGTAATCTTCCCCCAGTTTCAACCGACCGGGGACGTCTGTTCCTAGTTTCTCCGTTGCTACCGCAGCAGTTTTCTTTTCCGCCTTGTATCTTTTTATACAGTTTATTACTTCTCTCCGTGGTTTACCGAGTTTCTTTGCCGTTTTATCATCATTAAGCATTGAGTCAAATAGTTCATCACCAAACTTTCGCCACTCACTCTCCTCAAAAACTGTATTAGGATCTACAAAAATCTCTTAGCCTTCCCTACAGCCACTAGACCTTCTAGCTGCTTTAGAGTCTCAGGCTCAATTCCCTGCTTTTATAAAAAGCACTGTAATAAGTTCAGGGCTGCCTCTCGGTCCATTTTCATGGCCAGCCTTTTCCGGATCGTCTTCTTCTGGATCATCCTGTAACCTCGGTCTCCGGATCGGCCTCCCGACGCAGCAGTGTCTGGTTCACCCCAGCGGCGGACTCCTTTCGGTTAGTCCAAGCACCCGGGTCTGTCACGCCACCGCAGCAGCATTGCCCGTGCTCCCTGGCCGCTGCTGCTGGCACCGCTCACTCGCCGTTCCGGGTCCCTGATACTCAGGGCCCTGTATTCCGGGTCCCCGCTAACCGGGGCCCTGTAATCCAGGGCACTGTAATCCGGGTCCCTGCTAACCGGGACCCTGTAATCCGGGTCCCCGCTAGTCGGGGCCCTGTAATCCGGGTCCCCGTTAACCGGGGCCCTGTAATCCGGGTCCCCGGTAGCTAGGGCCCATTAGTCCATGGTCCCTGTTCAGGCGCCATTTGTAAGCGGCGAGGAGAAGCAGACAGGCCAACCCAATATGGGTGATAAGCAAACTTCTACTTTATTTGTGATGCAGTTCACTTATATAGGCGTGGTATTTAGCCACGCCTCCTAGGCACAACAGTATTGGTTAGATCCACACAGCTTCCTCCACATTCTCCTCCCACCTCCGGTTTCCGGTTACCTGTGGGGCCTACCCCTTGTCTTGCTCGCACAGGCCTCTAAGGCTCCATGGCCTTGCTCTTAGAGCCATTCTGCAACACCTTATCATTATTATTATTGGTGGTGGTAGTAGTAGTGGTTTTGTATTGCACTTTAGTTATTGGACTGTTCTTATCTCAACCCATAGGATTTACATTCTTTCAGTTCTCCTCCCCATCCCTCTGGGAGTGGAGAGATGCACTGATCAATATTGTGTACACTTGAATGTAAGTCAACCAATTTTAATGTATAAATACATATTATTGCCTTTAGTGTTTCAAAAATTATCTTCTGAACCAGAATATTGGTTACCCCAACTTGAAGGAAATTACTTAGACATGAGAAATCAAACAGTCTGGATTTATGTACGTGCACCACAGATGGAATGGTGTGTGGACAAAAATCTAGACTATATAGAATCATAGAATAGTTAGGGTTGGAAAGGACCTTAAGATCATCAAGTTCCAATCCCCCTACCATGGGCAGGGACACCTCACACTAAATCATCCCACCCAAGGCTCTGTCCAACCCAGCCTTGAACACCAGCCAGGACGGAGCATTCACATCTTCCTTGGGCAACCCATTCCAGTGCCTCACCACCCTCACAGTAAATAACTTCTTCCTTATATCTAAACTTCCCCTGTTTAAGTTTGAACCCGTTGCCCCTTGTCCTATCACTACAGTCCCTAATGAAGTGTCCCTCCTCAGCATCCTTATTGGCCCCCTTCAGATACTGGAAGGCTGCTATGAGGTCTCCATGCAGCCTTTTCTTCTCCAGGCTGAACAGCCCCAATCAACCTGCAATCCCTCTTCAGGCTCTGTACATCTTTTGTTGGCACTGGCTTCAAACTTGTAGGAGTGTTATCTAAACAGTACAAAGATTGTGGCCTATTAAATTTCTGTGTTAAAATCCATCCTGAGAACACATCCTGACTGCAGTATATCGTATATTCGATGATGCTGAATACTCACTGTGGTTTGTTTCTGAAATACTTTTTAACTTCTTCATTTAAGGAAAAAAAATATTTACATCTTGTGTTCCACTGAATATGAGGCTTGGCTGCTATAAAGCTTTACTTAAACCATGCCTGTCTTTTATTATTTACATATGTCTGTTAGCACTTGAGCCTTACTTTCAGGGAAATAACAACATATGGCATATATGATTCAAGTATTAAATAATTTGTCTTGAGGGAAACTGTCAGGTTTTATATTTCCTTAATGAGACATGTCTTTTTTTAAGTATTGAGGCCCTGTGAATGTTGATTGCTGGTACTTGATGAATATAGTCTTCACATACACAGTGATGGCTTCCAGCATGCAGCACTGGTTCTCCTACAGCCTGTAAGACTAGGAACTGTTGTTTAATTCAGATCTACTATTTCAAAAGATAGAAAGACCAAAATGATCTTGCTGCTTTTATATTCCAATTAGAAGCTTTTACAAAGCTTCATACAGCAATTCACTGCTTAAAAAATAAGTTTGTGTTCATTGTGCTTTGCAAATTTGCTCTTTTTTATATCTGTAGGAATGCCCTGCAAAGTGTACAGTGCCCTGCAGCAAGAAAAGCATCTTTATTTGCCCTAAGAGTATTTAAAAATTGTAAGATGACTAAATCATGTGAATGTGATTCTCCCTCCTTCCCTTTTAAAATATCCTGTCTTGGCTCCCACTTTACCCCTGAAGCTGTATATCTGTTGTCAGCAGAGAATATAGTTTTCCATCCTACATGAAGCTGATATATTCTGAATTTTGTGTGGCTACATGGAACTGTCAGATCTATGAGCAAGTACCATAAAACCTATGTGTATATATGTTTCCAGAAATACATTTGTAAATAATTTTATTAATCTGTAAAATTGTACTTGTCATTGTATCTAATACTGTTTAGGGGAAGACTAATTTGAAAACTAAAAATACTTTTAAAGAGTCTTGGATGGAGTCATAGTTATTCATATGTAATCAGAATTAAATGAGACAGTTGACTTAAATCTTGACTGTATTAGAAAGTGATTATCGTTAGTAGAAA